CCGAGGGACCCTGAGCCGCTGCAAGTCCCTGGACCAACACCGCCCACCCACCTGCGGCGGCCGCTGCGGAGAGTGTGTGGCTCTCCTCTTTGGTCATGTTCTTAGTAATTCCGGACTGAGGTGCCTGCATGTGGGCAAGATCTACGCAGATTTCCACGTAGTTATCTTTTTTTTTAAATACATTTTATTGATTTTTTTAAAAATATATTTTATTGATTTTTTACAGAGAGGAAGGGAGAGAGATAGAGAGTTAGAAACATCGATGAGAGAGAAACATCGATCAGCTGCCTCTTGCACATCTCCCACTGGGGATGTGCCCGCAACCAAGGTACATGCCCTTGGCCGGAATCTAACCTGGGACCCTTCAGCCCGCAGGCCGACGCTCTATCCACTGAGCCAAACCGGTTAGGGCTCCACGTAGTTATCTTATAGAAAAGATAAAAGCATATTAATTCTGCCCTGGCCAGTATGGCTCAGTTGGAGTGCTTAGGAAGATGTTAGTTATTAGATTCTGTTAGAGCATCGGCCCCATAGAGTTGCCGGTTGGATTCCTGGTCAGGGCATACACCCAGGTTGTGGGTTCGATCCCTAGTCAGATGCATACAGGAGGCAACCGAATTTTTCTCTCTCTCTTTCCTCCTTTCCTCTCTCGAATCAATGAAAAACATATCCGCTGGTGAGGACTTTTTAGTCCTGACTGGTTTGGCTCAGTGGACAGAGCGTCGGCCTGCGGACTGAAGGGTCCCAGGTTCGATTCCGATCAAGGGCATGTACCTTGGTTGTGGGCACAACCCCAGTAGGAGGTGTGCAGGAGGCAGCTGATCGATGTTTCTCTCTCATCGATGTTTCTAACTCTCTATCCCTCCCCCTTCCTCTCTGTAAAAAAATCAATAAAATATATATTTAAAATTAAAACTATATTAATTCAATAGCAAAGCTTGACTGACATGTAGCATTTGTTAATATTGTTAAGAATAGTAAATGACATGGGTGAAAATCATTAAATAAAAAGAATGGTCAATTTATTTAAAGTCGGAATATAGAAATCTTTGTAATATTAGAACATGCCCAGATGTTGGCTCCTAATCCTGTTCTCCAGTAAAGAGATGATGTGGTTTATTCCATACCTCAGGGAAGAGAAATACATGAGGAGACATTTTGGATATTTTAAAGAATCAGTGGTTCTGTGAAAAAGCAAAAGTCTATAATGATTCTCAAATACAGCAAAACCAAATGAGGGAAATTAGGCTGGAATTCCCATGATGTTTACAGAATCTCCCAAAGGTTGATCCCCAAAACATTGTGCATATTGCAGTAACGTTTTGGTCTCCACCCAAGTTATCGTAAACCAGGCCATAAGATGAACTGAGTTCCTCATAGAGTGCCACGTCCCATCAACTCTATTCAACTTGAATTCTTTTTTTTCTCTTTTAAAAAATGTTATTAATTTCTAGAGAGAGAGGAAGGGACAGAGAGAGAAAGAAACATCAATATGAGAGCAGAATGTGGATCGGCTGCCACTGGGGATTGAGCCCTCAATCTAGTCATGACCTGTGACCTCCTGGTTCTTAGGTCGATGCTCACACACTGAGCCATGCTGGCCGGGCCAACTTGAATTCTTCGGCTAAAACTTCACCAGGCTGCAAGAAGAGGTGTGGGTTTGGAAAGACTCAGAACACAGAGGCTCATAGAGACGGGTCCTGTAACTGGGTCAAAGTTCAGAATAGGGGGTCAGTTCCCAGCCTCCATTCCAGACCCAGCCTAGGAGAGTAATTTGTACTGCATTTCTGGGTGAGTCAATTTGTAATCATGAGATGAGAAAATAAAGTGATCCAGTAGTACAGACACTGAGAGTGGATTAGTAACTGGCTTTTTAATCCAGTTACTAATGTTTTTTGAAAACATTCAGTAATCTGAGATAACAAATATCTCAATTATTCATTTCCAGGAGTGCTTAGGAAGATGTTACTGATTAGATTCACACCCCTCCCCCTCTCCATTAAGAGATCAAGTAGATTATGTGCATATAATAGTTTGAAATACCTAAGGGAATTGAATTAATCAGACTTGTAAGACAAGTAAAATATTTAGGGAGGGGGCATCAATCTGTCAAATTTATAAACTAATGGAACATTAATCAAAGAATGTGAAAGTGAATTTTACATCCAAATTATAAGATTAATCAGTAAAATGATGCCCAGAAGCAAGTGTAAGGGCTTAAGGAAAATGAGATTTTAGTTTAATAACTCTAATAAATTGTTATAAATTAAGAGACAAATAATACACAAGCTCCCTAACTTGGATGTGGCTCCCCCAATAGATTGTTGCCGAGCGATGCCCCCTCTCCAAAGGCAGGCCTGAATCTGTTCTGTTCTCATGGTCTGTCCCATCAGAGCAAAGCCCGTAGCACACAGCCACACAGTTTGTTGAATGAATGAATGAATGAATGAATGGGGTGCAGAGTGGAGACTGTAGGCCCAGGGGGCTCTAACCCCAGGCAGCCCATCCCACCCCTCACCCTGCCGTGGCACACAAAGGCAAACAGAGAAGCACATCGCCTTTATTAATACTTCCAGCCCGCAGGCGACCCCAGGCCAGAGACCAAGCCCAAGGGTCTGGCCGTCCTTGCCAAGCAGACCGGGCTCTCAGGATGACAGTGGATCAGCTCAGGGGCTCAGCATTTCCCAAAAGGGCAGTGGCCTGGGAAGAGGTAGAGCAGAGCTCCGGTGAGGTGCCCCCTCCTCGCCTCCTGGGGGAAACGAGCCCTCTCCCTCCTCTGGTCTCTGAGGTCAGTCACTCAGCAGATGACTCCAGGTGGTCTGAGAGCCTGCCCTCCCTCCCAAGGGCTGGGGGCATCCCCAAGTGTGGCTTGAAAGGGTGACAATGGTGGCATGGGGAGAGTGGGGAACAGGGCCACTGGCTCCCCCTCACCTCCATAGCCATTTTCCAGCGGGCCACTGCTGCCTCGCTTCACCTCAGGGCCTCCTAAGGCACAAACAAGCCAGGGGACCAGGGTCACAGAACTTTCCAGTGCTCCCCCCAGCTTCATCCCAGGCCTTGCGAGAACCCCACTCACCAAAGGGTCTGGGGTCCAGCTCTGGCCTCAGCTGCTCATAGGGCCCTGGAGGTAGGGACGGAAGGTAGGAGCACTGCGTCCCTGATGGCCCTTGATCTGCTCTGTCACCTCCTCATCTTAGTCCAGGTGCCAGGCTCCTGCTCAGGGCCCCCTGCTCTCCCTATCCCTCCTCCAGTCCCATTCATTCCTGTCCCCCTCATACTTCCTCCACCATCAATGTCCCCTCCATCTCTTAGGGCTATGGGGTGGGCCTGGGCCCAGGACCCAGCTCCCTAAAGCCACCCCTCGTCCCCCCCTCAATGTTCTTCCACACACCCCATTACCTGGCTGGCTTTCGACCCCTGGATATGCACCACCGGCCCCATATCCAGGCTTCCAGGCAGCCCCCCAAGGCTGGAGGGAGGGCCAAGGAGAGCCCCTCAAAGCCTCAGTCTGACCTGCAGGAGGAGAGCTTCTGTGGGAACCACTGCCCACTGGATGCCCCAGTCCTCCCTGGGCCTCAGAGTCCCCCAACCCCCAATAGCCCTTGCCAGGGTTCACTCTGCTCCCTGAACTCTCATTTCTTACCATTTCCTTCAGAGGCTGGAGCTGCGGCTTTGGGGTACACCAGCGCTTCCTCGCCATACCCTGCGAGAGAGCCATGTGCTTCATTCCTGACCAGACCTTGGTGTCCCTTCCCCTCACCCCCTGCACTCTGTCCCCCGGGACCCAACTCACCGTTTCTAAAGCCATTGGCCCCAGGGAACCCTGAGGAGGAAAGAGGTCAGAGACATGAACAGCCCCTGAGCCAGGAGCCCCTCCAACCTCCCCAACCCTACCCTTAGGCACCTGGCTGCAGGAGGGCCTCAGTGAAGACCCCGGCTCCCAGACCACCATTCCCGTAACTAAAACCTGCAGGAGACAGATCGGAGAGGGGCTGGGATGGGGGCTGAGGGTGGACAGCAGTGGGGAAGCCAGGGTGACCAGCTCATGGAGAGGCAGACTGACTCACACAGAGGTCACCGAGAGAGGGCCTCTCACATCCCCCCACCCTCAGCACGCTAACCCTGCTCAACCTTCTGGAAGCCTTCCCTGGCTTCTCTCTGGGCAGCTTCCCTTCCCTCCTGCCTCAGTCTGTCACTCTACCCTCACCTGAAATAAGATGGCACCTGGTCTGGCCACCATTGTAGCCCAGTGCATAGTAAATATGGGCTGGGTGAATAAGGCAAGAGACAGACATGACAAAGATAGCAACAAGGAGGGCTCATCATGAAGGAGGTGCCAGGTTGTGCCCAAGATGAGGGCCTGGGCGGTGGGGGGGGGTGCTCACCAACTTTCTGAGGTTTGAGGCCATCACCAAAGCCTAGAGTAGAGGAAATGGGGGTCAGAGGTGGGGGGCGGGGTCAGAGATGGCCACAAGGGTGGGATGGGATGGGAGGAAGAAGAACTCAGACGAGGGCCTCCTCACCCAGTTCTGCTCCTGGTCCGTAGCCGTTTGAAGGGTGGTACCCTGTGAAGAGAACTGAGCTCAGTGCGGAGGACCCACACTTTCCCAAGGATGGACCTTAGGAACTCTGAGGAGGAAGAAGGGATTCTTTCTACCCACAGGGAAAGGGATCAGAATAACTGAGTTTAGAACGCAGCAAGAGAGAAGGAGGGTCGACTTGGGAGGGGCCTTCCTGGCCTGAACAGCTGAGGCAGCCTGGGCATAGGGGTGATGGGGGAGTGACCCTGACCTGGATGGGCACAGAGGCAAGCAGACTCGCACCTGCTTTCTGAGGCTTCAGTCCCCACTGGATGGCTGGCGTCGGTGCTAGGAAGAAAACCAGGGCGCAGGAGTGAGCCCAGGGCCAGGCAGTTTGGGACTGCCACAGCCTGCCATGCGGGGGACAGGCGCTTGGGGGAGCTGCCATATTGGGGGGTCACCTGGGTCTCCGAGCCAGAGTTCAGGCTTTTCCTCAGTTGGCTCACAGCAAGCCTCACTCTCAGGTGAAGAATGGGCGTAGGGGCTTCTGAGCAGCCCAGCCAGCCAGGCCCAGCCCCTTCTGGGACCAGGTACACCACCCCACCCCCCATGGCCACCCACTCCACACTACCTGGGAACTTGCCGTTCTGCGCTGGGGCGGGGGGCTGGGCTTTGGAGCCCCAGCTGCCTGCTTTGTCAGAAGGGCCTCCTGGAGTGGGAAGCCCAATGCAGGGACCTAGATGGGAGGAGGGAGGGGGCCGTGAGCCCAGACGGGCCTGGGTCCGGCCAGTCCACCAGCCTGCAGTAGCTTCTAGGGCAGACACAGCTTCCAAGGGGGGACCGTTGGCCAGGACAGGAAAAGCCCAGTTCCTCTGGGCCACAACCTGCGTTGGGGACCAGGGGACCCAGCCACCTGACATGGTTTCTGCTAGTTGCCCACCCAGCCCCAAGGCCTGCCAGCCTACCCCCCTCGCCCCTGGGGCCTCACCTGCCTGGGCCCCCAGCCCGTTTCTGCTGCCATATCCTGGAGAGGAAAAGCAGGGCTGTTAGGGGTACTGGGGGCGGGGGTCCTGGAAGGAGCAATAGGAAAAGGTACAGGACTGAGATAGGGGCTCTCGCACTTGCCTGGCTTCTGAGGTTTCACGCCCCCTTCCAGACCTGCAGGAGAAGCAGAGAGACAGCTTCCGAGGGGCAGCCCCTCCCCAGAGGGAGCCCTCTCTACCTGACACTGAGACCCTCATGTACTCACCAGGCGGGAGCCCGTTTCCTGGTGTGTATCCTGGGAGGGAGAGCAGGAATGAGGGCTGGGGCTGGGGTAGGGGGAGACTTCAGGTGGAGGTGGGAGAGGGGCAGGGTGGGCTCACCTGGCTTTGGAGGGCTCATGCCCCCTGCTAGGCCTGGGGAGAGACAGATGGAGGCTGAGTGACAGATGGACTCCATTCTGCCCCTTCTCTTTCCCAGGACCGAACTATTTGTCCCATGGGACCCTGTGACCCCTCTTCCCCTCCACCTTCCAGAGCTCCATGCCTGCCCTGCCTCCCCCATCTGGCTGGGCCTCTTCCCTCGGGAAGGCTCCATCCAGCTCCCAGCCCATTCTTGTAAACTAGGGAGACAGGCGAGGGGCTTTGAGGGGTCACAGATGAAGGGAATAGATAGTTTCTGGAGGTAGAGAGTATTGGGGTCCAATTCTGACACTAGTTTCAATTCTGGGTTTTTTTCCAACATCACCGAGCAATTTTCAGGTACCAGCTGGGTGTCCTACAATTCTGACCCTACCTACCTGGAGGTAGCATCACATCCCACCGGTTAAGGGCTCAGTCCCACAATACTGTTCCCTCCTCCCACTTCTGCCCATTGCCAGTCCAGGTTGTTATCTGTGCTTCTGACCAACCAGCTCTATAAATCAGAAGTTCCGATGACCCCCTCTTTGGGTTCAATTAATCTAGAGCAGTGGTTCCTAACGCCGCGACCCTTTAATACAGTTCCTCATGTTGTGGTGACCCCCAATTTCATTGTTACAAATTGAACATAATTAAAGCATAGTGATTAATCACAAAAACAATATGTAATTATATATGTGTTTTCCGATGGTCTTAGGCGACCCCTGTGAAAGGGTCGTTCGACCCCCAAAGGGGTCACGACCCACAGGTTGAGAACCGCTGTTCTAGAGTGGCTCCCAGAATTTAGATATTATGAAAGGATACAGCTCAGAAACAGCCAGATGAACAAAATGTATGGGATAAGGTTTGTAAGTGAGAAGGCATTCGGAGCTTCCATGCTCCAGCCCATCGCCCTTCTCTCCACCCCCGACCCCCTTCACCAACCCGAGAGGACGCTCTCCCAGCCCTGTCCTTGGGGGTTTTTACAGAGGCTTCCTTACAAGCAAAGGGGTGAGATTAAAAGTTGCAACCCTCCAATCACAAGGTGGCAACCGGCCCCAGGGGCTTTCCAAAAGTCACCTCATTAACACAACAAAAGAATTTAGGAAATTCCAAGGCTTTTAAGAGCCAGCTCTGTGCCAGGAATGGGAGAAGGCCAAGTATATATTTCTTATCATAAATCACAGTATCACAGTGTGGATAGAAAGGAAGGGTTTACCTGGCTTCTGAGGCTTCATGCCCTCACCAATGCCTGGAGAAGAGAGGGGAGCAGGTGAGGTACCCCTGACCCACCCACCGGGCCTCTCCTCTAGAACTCAGGCTCCCTGGGGCCCACTCCACTACCTGGTCCCTGGCTTATGGAGCCACGGGCCTGTGCGGACAGGAGAGGGGGAGGCAGGAGGCGGGCAGCTGGGCTGCCTTCCCTCCCAGCTTAGGAACCAGAAGCCCTGGGGTCTCTCCTGCCTCCTGCCACCCCCGTCCAATTCTCCAAGTCTGCTGGGGCCCACGAGAGGACCATGAGTCAGGATCTGGGTGAAGACACCAGCTCCCTCCAAAGGCCGCCTCCTCTCCTCCTTCCGGCCTCTCTCAGCCCCTCAGGACCCACCTGTTTTGGAGCCATCCTGAGCAGGGCCAGTGGGGCGGGAAGGATGAACAGGAGACTTGGGGCCTGGCTAAGGTGGGGTAAAGGCTGGCAGGCAGCCAAGCCAGAACCAGGGATCATGGAGGTTGTCCCGGGCCTCTTTTAATCATTTACTAATCCGGCCCCTCAAAGGCCTGGAGGGAGGTGGGAGAGGACACGCAGATGCGGGTGCCCACCTCAGACCCCACCAGTCCCACCAGGCTGGGCTCCCAGCCCATTCCCGAATCCGGGGTGTGTGTGTGTGTGTGTGTGTATGTGTGTGTGTCTGGCAATATCTCAGTGGGGTGTGAATAGGTGCCTGGAGCTCAGGGTTTGGAGACAGCAGCACTGAGGGCCCTGGGCCCCATCCCTGCGCCTCCCCAGGGCCCCGGCCCACCCCTAACCTGGTCCATAGCCATTCTGAGCTGCAGGGCCTGTGGGGAGAAGGTGGGGGAACCATAAAGCTGGCTGTGGGCTGAGGGGCTGAGGCCAGCCCTGGGGTCTCCTGGTCTTGCCTCCCACTTCTCTCCCATGGTGCTTGGCGCCCTGACACCCTTCACCCCTGAAGCAGGGAGTGTCCCTCTTCCTAGAGGTAAGCAGACCCCGCTCCATGCATTAGTGCTGAGGAAGGGGTGCCAGAGAGAGGCCTGAGTGAAATGAGGAGGACAGGACAGCTGTCCTCTCACCTGGCCCAGGGCTTTCCCACCCCTTCCCAGGCCTGGGAGGCAGAGAGGCTGACAGCCTCTGCCAGGCCTCCAGCCCCTGCTCCTGTCCTCCCCCCCACCCCCAACCCCCGTCTCAGGACGAAGCCCAGCTGCCCTCACCTGCTGGGGCTCCCAGTCCATTTCCATTACCATATCCTGGGGAGGAAAAACAGGGGTGGCATGAGGGGCACTATGCAGAGGGGTTCAGTAGAGCAGGACAGGAGTCAGGCAGCCTCAGAGAAGAGGCGGGGGGGTGGGGGATCTTTCCCTCACCTGGTTTCTGCGGGGTCACTCCCCC